ATAATTATATGTATATAACATACACAGAAGTATTGTTCATATAGACGTATCACTAATAGTAACTGAAAAGTTTCTATTATAATTATATGTATATAACATACACAGAAGTATTGTTCATATAGACGTATCACTAATAGTAACTGAAAAGTTTCTATTATAATTATATGTATATAACATACAATGTAAGGTAGAGGATTCTATTTTAAAACTTAGCGAATTCTGTACCTGTTCTTTCACTTCTGTGCTAGTTTGCTTGATTGTGATATCAGTTAGATGGATGTAGAATGCTTTTTATCTTCTGATTCCTTGTGTGTGGTTGAAACCCCACCATTCTATTGTATTTATGAGCTTTACTCTTACACGATGTACTACTGCTGATGAATTTATGTTATAGAAGATTACGTGTCTGTTAGGTTCTGATTTCTGAGATTTGGTGATCGTTTGTTGTCTTTTAGATCTTCAGGTGGTTTGGTGTTTACTGAATGTGATTTTATTGTGTACTTGTTTCTAAATGTTGTTCTGATTTTATACTGTTTGCTTTCATCTATATTTTTGGAGAGACATTAAAATGTGTCTCTAATGTTTATTCTGCTTCTTCCTTGTATTTATCTTGTTCTTTATCAAGTGTTTAGGGTTTTACAAGCAAATATACCGTTTTGATTTGAGTTTTATCACTATAAGTACATAACTAGACCATATTTATCTATCTCAGTAATAAGGTTTTTACTACCTTCTCCTTCAATTTATTGACATACTAATAGGTTTCTAAATACAAGAAACTTTAAATGTAATTGAATCACAAAGACGAAAGTATTATCTACACCATTTCCATTACATAAACTAACAAAGACAAGCATATTTTTTAGACATTTTAGCCAAATACTCAAATTTAACTTCAACACTGGACACTTGGTGCTCCTTAGGCAAGTTATAATGATTAGTATCCGCTATTTTTTGTTTTTATTTATGTAATTGAAATATAACATTTTTATTCTAACATAGTTTTTATTAACAGTAGTTTAACTTACCTTTCTGTAAGTAATACGAGTTGGAATGTTTTTAGGAGAATCGAAAAAGATAATTTCCGAGTTGTAACTGAAGTAATCAGGCAACTGAGGTACAGGAACATTTGCTTTATATCCTGAACAGTACACATCGATGGGAGGCTAGAGTATGAAAGTAGGAAGTGAGTAGATAGCTTTACCATCTGGGGAGAAACAGTATAAAGTTTAGGGTAGAAATAAGTAATTTTTGTCATTGGTGGAGAATACAGTTTGAAGATATGAAGTGAGTAAGTAATATTCACCAGTTATCGTTTCATCATTAACAACAAAGAACAAAATAAGTATCAAAATGACATACAGCTCAGCTCACCACCATTTCATCATTAACAACTGGAACAAAATAAGTATAAAAAAGACATACAGCTCAGCTCACCACCATTTCATCATTAACAACTGGAACAAAATAAGTAACAAAAAGACATACAGCTCAGTTCACCAGTTACAGATTTCATCATTAACAACTGGAACAAAATAAGTATAAAAAAGACATACAGCTCAGCTCACCAGTTACCATTTCATCATTAACAACTGGAACAAAATAAGTATAAAAAAGACATACAGCTCACCACCATTTCATCATTAACAACTGGAACAAAATAAGTATCAAAAAAACACACAGCTCAGTTTACCACCATTTCAGCATTAATAACTCGAACAAAACCGTGTAAGAAAAATTAACCATTCAGGTGATATTTTTTGCCAATGTTTTAGTTTATATTCTTTGTTCTGTTTACATCAGACTTATATACCATTAAAGAAATGTTTTATTTCTGTACAGTACAAAATCATATTAAACTTCTGTTATCATAGACTTTCAACAATCACATTTTATGTTTCAGTACCGTACTGATCTTTCACCTGCTCCTACCATATGTGAACGTGCTTTTTGTGATGGCCAGATTTACGTATTCCCGTTTGAAAAAACTTCTACAGAGGATAGTAACGTCAATCTATACCACACATATTGACAGTCTTCTCTGAGATCCTCTACTGCATTGTCTTATAAAACTATGTTTAAGCAAGCCAGATATACAGATTTTCATGGAAGTTCAGTCAGGTGACTTAATGGTTATGTCGGAGAAGGAGATAATATGAACATCAGTTTCATGCTCCAATGTTTTTAAAAGCGCCGTTGTACGCTTGGTACCTTATGCTGATGTAGCCTTAGTTTCTTGTCGTCTTGGCCATACAATGTAGGGATTTTTCACCTCTGGGAATTGGTTTCCTGATTTAGCCTAAGCTTCTTGTTGTCTTGGCCATACGATGTAGAGATTTTTCACCTCTGGTAATTGGTTTTATATTGTAGCCTAAGCTTCTTGTTGTCTTGGCCATACATTGTAGGAATTTCATCTCTGGTAATTGATGTCCTGATGTAGCCTTAGCTGCTTATTGTCTTGACCATACATTGTAGGGATTTCACTTCTGGTAATTGATGTTCTGATGTAGCCTTAGTTTCTTGTCGTCCTGGCCATAAAGTATAGGGATTTCACCTCTGGTAATTGATGATCTGATGTAGCCTAAGCTTCTTGTTGTCTTAGCCATATAGTATAGGGATTTCACCTATGGTAACTGTTGTCCTGATGTAGCCTTACCTCTTGTCGTCCTGGGCATACAGTACAGGGATTTTACGTCTGCTAACTGGTGTCACTAGCTCTTCTGATTTAGTTAAACTTTGTTTTACTGAAACATTTGTGAACTTAATTTTTCTATGATATGGGAAATCTGTTAATACAATTAAACACTTTTCTGTACGTTTTATTACCTTTTTTGGAAGTCCTCATAACGATGTATAGTCGCAGTCGCTCAATGTTGCAACAAAATTCCATTTCTCATGTGGCAGTTTTGTACAGTTCTCTCACGAACGTGTCTATTGAGCATTTTGTGGATTCATAATGATCTTTGTGAATTACCTGATACACAGTTCATTATTGGGAAAAGAAATGATCTTGAAGTGATGTTTTGGTTCTCTGTTAGGGATACTGATATTACCTTGCTAATATTATCCTTTATATCAAGGTGAAAGGGTGATCTTGAAGTGATGTTTTGGTTCTCTGTTAGGGATACTGATATTACCTTGCTAATATTATTCTTTATATTAAGGTGAAAGGGTGATCTTGAAGTGATGTTTAGGTTCTCTGCTAGGGATGCTGATATTACCTTGCTAATATTATTCTTTATATTAAGGTGAAAGGGTGATCTTGAAGAGATGTTTAGTAACTTTGTTATCCTTCCTTGAAGAAGGGTGTGATACCCAGCCATATAATAATGCATTTTCGAATGTTTGTGAATTCACCGTGAACAAAATATATAGCTACTAAACATGTCGCTCATGGCATAGAGTCAACCCCCTAGTAATACACACTAAATTAACACTTGTAAATCTCTCTTACAGAGACACAAATTAACCTTCTTTTAGCATTGTATAGGTTTTGTTATCTTTTTCGAACTACGATTCTGATAATACAACAAAATATTGTTTAACATCTCTTCACACGCGTAACACATTCAAACGACATCAGATTTAAAACATAACTTTAACATTGGACTAAATCTATCACAATAATGAATAGACCACTTTGATCCTGCAGAATGTTAACATATTAATGTGAGACATTTTTGTTAAATACATGCTGTAGCCTGGTTCTATGTAAAGTATTCTCATAACTTTCTTCATACAAGATATAAACTTTTCAGTTTCTATTTCTGATATCTAAGTGAATTATATATAGTAACATTTATATTTTCAGGAACCGATCTATATATATATTTCCATTGCACTTATACTTTTAATGACATTTATTTCATCTCTGAAAGAATTTCGCTTAACCTGAAATGTCTCCGGTGAAGGAACATAGGGACGAAACCGAGAATAGTCATACACAATATTTAATTCAGTGGCTTCATTTTTATCTTTCTGGAACTTTCCTTTTCCCCGAAGCACAACTTGTACAGGAATAGAACGGTCGTCTACTTCAGGCGGAAATTCAAAGCCCGGGCTCCATCTGGAGTCTAGAGTAAAATGATTAAAAATAAGCAGTCCATTCCAATATCAGTAATTTTGAAAGTGGCCAAAACACAAGTTTTAGCTATATATTTGATTCTGTTACTTCTAATGGTAAAACTACATAGTTATTATAAGTAACTTTTAAGTATTTGTAACACTATATTTTTCAGGAAAGTAGTTACTGGTTCTTTTATTTCACATGGAAGCGGTAATTCGAAAAAAAATGTATACAAAAAAATAAAATCATTTGGTTCAGTGCACTGTCTTGTATTTTACAATGTATCATACTTACTTCATCTGTAGGGTAAAATTACTATAATTACATTATCTGTAAAGCTTAATGTATCATACTGACTTCGTTTATATGACTTATTGTACTATACTTACTTTATCAATATTGCCTAGTGCTCTATGCTTAATTTATCTGTAGGGTATAAATTACTATAATTACATTATTTATTATCGTTATGTGGACAAAAAATTTGGAATTATTTTTATCAGATAATCCAATAGCATCCGACGAATGAAAGAACAATGTTACAACATTTGTTTCAGGAGTGAGATTATTATGGTAAATATAAAATATAACTTTGACTAAACTTAAACTTTCAAGTTAAAAACACAGGCACAGAGAAAGAGATACGAAACATACTAGAAATGAAAAGACAGTGGAAATAATAACAAACAGAAAAAGATAGAGCATTGAAAGAAGATAAGAAAGACAGAGAATTCAAAGAATACTAAGAAGAAAAAGACGGAAAGTTAAAAGAAAGCTAAGAAAAAAAGAAACAGAAAATTGGAAAAATGAGATAGAAAATTAAAAGAAGAACAAGAAGAGGGAGTTACAACAACAAAAGTTAAGAATTATAGAAAGGCCATAATGACAAAATTGGAAAAATTACAATGAAATTATTGAGGTACAATATAACATAATTCAGAATAAAACATATGGTAAACGAATTGGTAAATTCAAAAATTAAACCAGCCACACCTTTCTATTTCAAGAATTTAGCTGGTTAATTCAGTAACATTACCCCATTGAAAAACCAACAAACTGTAATGGAAAGGTACCATGAGAGGCATATTGGCTTAGTTTGAAATAATTTTCAGAGTAAATAGGTGGAATATTGAATAACAAGCTATTCATCTTGTTGCCCATTTAAAAGAAACAGCTTTAATGACATTAAGTAACTTCCAGCTTAGAGCCATAACAATTATCTAGCACTGGTAGCAGCCTTATACAAAAGGTTTGTAGTGACATATCAGGCAAAGAAGTATCCAGAACAGGGTATGACAGAAAGAAGAGAACCACACTTAGGCCTACTGTTTTATAACCTTAGTCTAGTTGCGTTAATGCTGTCGCAGACTTTCTCACTTCTGCCTTTTTTTTTTCGCCACCTGCGAGAAGAAATCTGTCTTTCGTTAGATCATGGCAGAGACCTATCAGAAGATTTAGAAAGGCTTATCCAAACATTTTACCCTGATGCTTCTTGTGAAATGATAGATTTGTCAGCACGTGACCAATTTATAAATGCCATAACAGATTAGATATAATAATGCTATACCTAGGAATTTCCTAAAAATAACTCTAAAATACCTATAAGGTTCATGATTTAGAAATTTTGTGGAACTTAGAGAAACGAGAGTACTTTATAGGTACCAGTAACCAGTGCGTGTTAATGTTACTGAAAATTCAACAAGATTTAAATTAAGTATTCAATGTGTTTTTCAGTTCTACTATGTTGTGCAATTACTCAGTAAATTACGTGTCTGTTTTTAGACCGAAGGTACCATTAGAGAGGAATTTCTGTTTAAGTGTTGTTTGTAAAATTAAGCCTACAACTTGTGTCAAAGTGAACGTAGCCTGTAGTAAACATTATAGAAGAAATAATTCAATTTTTAATCTTTTCCTGGATAGGACTTCGCTTTATTTTTACCAAAAAACATCCAAAAGAACAACATTAGAATAATATCTTAAAATAACTTGTCCTAGAAAAAAAATTATATCAGATGCACATTGAGAACTATAAGTCTTATTAAACGAAGTTTGAATAAGATATTGGGTGTTTCAAAACAATTTTATACAACATATCTAAATTGCTTTTTTAGTAAACTATCATTGCTTTTATTTCTCTTCATTTAAACAATACGATATTGGTAAGTTTGATAAAATGAGTGTCAGTGTACAGGATATTGTGAAGTTCAGAACAGATTTTGCTTGCAGTAGCTTTATTTAGGGATGAATTTGATCTGATGATTGCTCTATAACCTTCGATGTTATTTAATTCCTGGGTTTATTTATAATCTAGTACAGTAAATTTGTTGATGTGTTGCAGTAATTCAAGTAAAGATTCACAAAAATACTATCTGTCAAATTCACAGTTAATTAAAGACATCAGAAATAATATGTTTTATTTGAGAACTAATAATTTGTTGACCTTGAGTTTTCAATCACTTAATGTTCAAGCAAAAACCACAAATAAACATTTGAAATGACTAGAACTTGCTGTGGAAAATTATCTAAGATAATTCATGGCTAAAATTAGTTTCAATGTTTTGGCTAAATTTAATTTGGCTTTTTAGATTACTATGTTTTAAGATTATCTTAATCTTAATTTAGAATGTAATATGACAAAAACCAAGCGGAAAAACGTTACTAAAATAGTTGTAATCTATTTGTTGTTGTAAATTAAACATTGACAAACTGACATCAGAAACAGAATAATCCAAAAGTGGTAGAAATGTCCTTATCTCGTAGTTATCGGTTAAAGAAAGTTTGTATTTGGGATACACTAACTAGATTTTTTTACTCTTTGTATAAAGTAAAATTTATTTTATGTTAAAATGATTAATAGTAATTAACTATTCATGAAGGGATGTCTTCCATTTTGTTGTGTGTTTAGGCGCTTAGTGTTTTTGAAATGTATACCAAAGAGTATTTTTCAAACTTACTCACCTGTCCATGTTATCACGACTTGCACAGTAGCTTTCAATTCTTCTATATAACCACACAGATCCCACTGGTGAACTGCTGTTCCTTTGATGAACGCAGGACCTAAATAATAATATCCAGCTCCTGAAGTTTGTAAAGCCGTAACAAGGCTGCCTAGTAGCCCAAGAGGTCCAATAATGCGTTCTTGTAGAAAAAAGTCTGTCGGATCCATTTCAGATAGCTTCTCTGTCGTGCATATAGTTTCTTGAACAACAAAACAAATATGTATTGTTATGATATTAACAGATGTTGCTAGAAGAGAATAAACTTAAACAGCATGATTTAGCATGTTTGTGGCAAACTTCTATTTTCTAATTATTGCAGTTTTCTTGACGGAAAACGTTTATGACCAGACAAGAAATGAGCTGGGAATGGCCAGTGATTAGCATGCCGAGAAGCATATTCGAAGGCTCAGGACATGATATGTCAGTGAACAAGTTTCGTACTTTTACTGTAAGGGTATTATATTTAATCCCCTTATTTGGTTAAAGGTAGACTTGTAGATTGAGAGTGCTGCTGACTGACTGCTTTATTAACTTCATTTACCTTGGGAGATATTTCGATTTAAAACCATTTGACCGTGAACAAAATGTAATCGAGGAAACTTGAAAATGCTAAATACCATACAAGAAGCAACAGTTTTTACTAATTTTCGGAGCATTTTTCATTTGATAAAGTGTAAAGGTCCATTGTCTGTTAGTCCAATGATGAGCCTAACAGTATATTTCTTAGATACACTTTTTGTCATCACTTGTTAGTCCAATAATCTAATTCTTGGGAGACACTTTTTTCCAATCATCTAATAGCATAACAATATATTTTTTAGGAACGTACTCACTATACATCATCCATTTTTCCAGTGATGAGCCTAACAATCTATGCCCACTTTTGGTCATCATTTGTTAGTCCACCAATGGGCCAGATAATATATTTCTTAGGGACTTTCGCTCTAACGATGAGATTAACAATATATTTTCTAGGGACACTTTTAGTCATCATCTGTTTGTTCAGCGATGAGCCTAACAATGTATTTCAAAGGGAAACATTTATGGTCCATTGTCCAACGATTAGTTTATGAATGTAGATCTTGAGGATACATTTCTGGTCCATTGTTTGGTTGTCCAAACATAATCCTAACAATTTCTATTTCTTAGGAATTCTTATGAAACATTGCTTGTAACGACAACAATAAACCTAACAATATTTGTATAAACACTTCAACGAAAATAAATATAAACTTTATTCAACATAAATATTTACCTTTTCAATATTAAACCATCATTAGTTTTTAAGTTGCACCAAATAAGACTTAAGGTACTTGCAATTAAAAATGCTTAAATAAAATACATGTCAGCCATAGAGAAACCCTAACACTTTCAAATTCAGCGAATAATACACATTTACACCTGCATCTAACATCGAACTCTATGATTGGAGACTACTGTGAGTTTATGTTAGCATGCTTTTGACTAGCCACATCAGCAGAGATGGATTTCTGCCAATGCTCGCTAGAACTGAGTTCAAGTTCATTTGAAATCCCAAGTGTATCATTACAGAGGTCTATCAATACAGAGGTCTATCAAAACAGAACTATACCATTACAAAGGTCTATCACAACAGAAGTCTACCATTTAGACCTCTGTAATGGTAGACTTCTGTTTTGATAGACCTCTGTTTGAAATGGTAGACTTCTGTTTTCTGTTTTGATAGACCTCTGTAATGGTATAGTTCTGTTTTGATAGACCTCTGTCTATACCATTACAGAGGTCTATCAAAATAGAAGTCTACCATTACAGAGGTCCATCAAAACAGAAGTCTACCATTACAGAGGTCTATCAAAACAGAAGTCTACCATTACAGAGGTCTATCAAAACAGAAGTCTACCATTACAGAGGTCTATCAAAACATAACTAT